ATGAAAGAATGGCATTGTTTCACATTTTAGCTGATCTCTTTTTGTCTGCCTTAGAGAAGATAGCTAGATTCTCTTATTTGCTACAACACTAATTAAAAAATAATTTATAAGTCATATGGCCTCTGGAAAACTCCTGTATACACCCATGAGAGGGAGTGACAAGGCAAATAACATTTTAGTAGTATGATGGAAATTGTTTTGCCCTTGTGGATCCCCTGAGAGAGTCTCAGGGATTTTCAGGGGTCTACAAGCCATATTTTGAGACCAGTGATCTTCAGACTTTAACAATGCATCCAAATCATGGGGAGGCTGGTTAGCTCACAGATTGCTGGGCTCCATACCCAGAGTTTCTGATTCAGCATGTCTAGGATGGGGTCTGACGATTCGTATTTCTAACAAATTCTCAGGTGATGCTGCTGCTGCTGGTCCACTTTGAGAATCACCTGTCTGAACTTTTATTCTATATTATTATGGATATAATTTCTCTTTGTCTTCACTTGTAACTACTTTTGAAACAACATCAAAATCTACTAAGATATTTCATCACTGTCACCTCACATACATCTTACACTATCTCCTGGAATTTTTTCTTCTCTAATTGAAGTACTTAATACAACACTGACTTCGGTATGAGTGTTTTTGTGACAGTCAGAGGGTTTTGATGCTTGAGAATATTTTTAGCATCACTGCACATTTAAATAACAATTTGAGTGAATATCAGTTTCTTGGTTTTATGGTTCTAGATATTTTTTTCCCCAATACATTGAAAACATTACTCTAATATTTTTCATTCATTTTTTTTTAATGGCTGTTTCTCATGTTCTATTGAAACATCTGAAATAACTTAATCCATGCTTGTTAATGCAGGATCTGTCCTTTTTCTCTAGGAGTGTTCACAATTTCCTCCTTGCTTTTGATGCTCTCACATGTTCTTATTAGATCTAAATCTAATGTGGGGTTTCTCCTTGTATTTCCTCTTTGGGATTCTCTGGCCCTTTCAATCTGAAGCCTTCTCTTCCTCCATGTTTCTCTTCTCTTTCATTCAGGGAAACTCATCTTCATTATTTCTTCAAGTATTTCCTCTTCATTATTGCTCCCTCTTTCAGGGATTCTGTTGTCCCAGAGTTAATCACTTCCACTTCTATTCCTTCTACCCCATCACCTCTTAGATTTTTAAAAATATTTTATGTGGGTTTCTTTTTCTTTTCTTTTTTCTGCTTTTTATTCTTCCCTCTGGGAATTTTTTCTCAGTGCATTCTTTCCATTGCTAACCCATTCCTTTAGCTAATTCTTTCTGCTGTCTCTTTCATATATATTCTTTACTTCAACTACTTGACTTTTTATATCTAATATTTCTTCATGGTCCTTTTTAATGCTTCTTATTTTGCATCATTTTGAAATAATTTCTATTATTTCTTTTAAATTTTTCCTTAGGCAAACAAATTTTTGGTGCTAATATGTTGCTTTTGGTGGAATATATAACCTACTAATTTCATTTGAAATAGGCATGCTCCTCAAATGTCTTATTATTTTGGCTTGTGAGCTCCTTTTCCCCTGAGATAGTCACTGTTTTGTCAGGCAACCATAGACCTTGGTTTGCAACAGCCCTAATTAGCTCAGGTTAGGGAGCTAAGCCCTGTGAAAGAGAAGGCCAGGCGTGGAAAACCAACCAGTCACTTCTGGCCTTTAGGTCAGGGCCTCATTCTTTGCCTACCAGAAGGAAGCATCCTTAGATTGTATAACTAATCAGCCCTGGGAGTTTGGAAGGGAAGGAGCTGGAGAACTCCTGCTCAAAGTTAATCTCCACTTAACTACTTCTTAGCACCTCGCAGACACATGTCTTGGGAGCTGCCTCATTTGTGTCACCTAGAACACCTGGATGGGAGCCGAGAGCCGTGTGTGATGGCAGAAATTGTTTGCTCAAGACAGTAACAGAGGAGAGCAAGAGCAGAGCACCGAGAGTTCCTGTCTTATTGTACCCTCCCAAAGCATGCAGTTATGCTTCCTATTAAAGGCCAGAGCCTTACCCATATGCCAGTTCAAAATACATAACTCCAGGTCTCCCAGAAATTTTTTGGCATTTTTCTCTTTTAGTTCTTTGGGGAAGGCAGTCAGCCTTCATGCTTGGTTCAGTGTCTTGGAGAATCTTGATCCTAATCCATTTCTAATTTTTCCAAAAGTGTGATCTTGGACAAGTTACTTTATTTCTCCTTAGTTTTCTTATCCATGAAATGGGACTAATATATAATATCAACAGCAATGTAAAAATTAAAATAATATACACACATATTTTATATATTAATATACAATACATGCATATATATACATATTAATGTATTAATATATTAAAAGTGGTTAATATTATTGCTGGCATGGAGTAGACACTGCTCTATTGTTGCTATTATAATTGTTGTGGTTGTTACATGTGGTTGTTATAATCGAGGGCTAGAGCCTGACTTTCCATTCTGCAATGGAATGTTCTGGATAATGAAGTGCAATACTGCTGTACCTGTAATGTAAGAAGTTGTTTTTACTGTGTTTGAAATACATTACTGACATTATATTTCCTTTTCCTGTGGGGCCATATATGTGCAGTTACTCAGAGGATTTGGGGGCCTGGCCTCCAAGAAAGGGAAATGTGGCCCACAGAAGTCTTGCTGAGCAGAGGTAACTGACCCAGGGGGAGGGTATGGATGACCATTGTGGATAATGGGAATAGCCATATCCATGATCTAGCATTTACTTTACTTTTTGCATGTTGCAATTTTCTTCTGTTAGAGCCCAATACCTTCAATAATGTGATATTACACATGGCAGAGTGGTCTTGCTCATGCTTGGGTAATTAAGGGATTGAAATTAAGGAATAGAAATTAAGGGATAGAAACAGTTCTTGAGGCTAGAAGTTTGAAATTGAGGAGTCAGAAAGGCTACGCTCCTTCTAGAGAAGGACCCTTCCTTGCCTATTCCTAGCTTCAGTGGCCCCTGACATTCATTGGTTTGTGGCCATATCACTCCAATCTCTGCCTACCTGCCTTAATGTGGTCTTCTCTCTGTCTCTGTGACCTCTCTTCTTGTAAGGATTGTTGTCATTAGGGATAGAATGGATGCATACATCCCATTCTTGGGGTGATGAGTCTTGAGAAGCTGATCATGAAATATTAAGAAGAGTCTTCTACAAAAACCTGATCCAGTCTCAGATGGTTGACTGAGGTAAAAAGGGACAAACAGGATGGACCTGTGGGACACCCCAATATGCCACAGGGATTATCAGAAATATCTGAGGCAAGGAATCTGGTGAAAGAGTAGGCTCCCTACAACAGCAGGATAGGGGATAGACAAGTTATGATTTGCCATTAAAGGCAATTGTGACTCTATAGGATGGAGAACCATAACTGTTGAATTGCACTGTTAGTTCTGAGTGCTGTCTGTTAATATCACCACACTCCAACACTTGGTATGCACACTAATGACAGATGTCTCTTGCCTCGTCTCTAGCTTGGATGGCTCCTGGGGGCAGATCTCTTGACCGTAAGCCACTTGATTTGTTAGCCTCCTGCCATGGGCCCTTGGCTACCCTTCATTCAGCAGCACTGACTTTTGAAGTGGACCCAGTGACATCATAGTCAGCCACACCTACTGTAAGTTCTCATCAACACGCATCCTTAATTTCTCTCTTCCCAGGATGGATATGGTATGGGAAGCAAAGAAAATATGTATGCTGATTTCTTAAACACACACATATTTATTCTTAAAATATATGTCTCTTTTCTCCCTTGGGGGCCAATGAAACCTGCTTGAGCTTTCATTTCCACAACTAAAATGATGTGGCTCATTTCTTATCCTCATCCGAGGAACAGCCAATTGCTGGTGGGTCAGTGAACTCCCAGAGGGGATAAAATGGAAACTGATGCTATTTTAAAAATGCCAGGAAGTCTTCCACTATGTCTAAATATGGGTACAGGAGACCTAGGTTCTTTAATTGCATCTCCCAAGTTCAGTAATTACTTTGGGAAGCTTCTTGGATGAAGGATATCTGAACAATTCTCTTGGAGTCAAGGATATCTGAACAACTCAAAGGGGCTTTGACTGCCTCCTGGGCAACTTGCATAAACTTCACTCTGCAGAGCTCATAAATTCCAACAAGGCTGGACAAAGCAAGGTCCCTCCTTCCTTGGGGACAGAGCCTGTTTCCTTCTACCCTGAGCAGTAACACTCACAGCCTTTGTTATGGCCTCGTTAGAACTCTGTACATAGCAACCAGGGCAGAAGGTGAGCTGGTCTCTTCCTATTAAATATGATGCCACCAAGCTGTTACTGTCAGTTACTGCCATTAAAATGACAGCTGTTGGTCAGCCCTTAGTGGAAAGAAACAGTCTTCTCTCTACTCTTGTTTCTCAGTCAGAACAAACTTTTCACTCTATCCCAAAATATGCATACTGACCCAAAGAGGGTTACTCTGAGAATTTCCCAGGCATCATCTACTCAGGAGGCTCAGCATTATGAGCTTAAGGACAGAGCCAGGATCTCAGTGGAGATCAGTGGCTTGGCTTTGAGCCTTCACTGTTCCCACCCTCCCTAGCCACCCCCTAAGCTCTCCCAATGGTTGGGCCCTGAGCTAAGAATAGTTTTCTTCTTTTCAAAGATGTAAAATCCATCAGGAACTACTCTCCCTCCCACCCAAGTCAGGGAGTTGTCATGGTGGAAAGGGACAGATGTGTGTGTGCGTGTGCGAGTGTGTGTGTGTGTGTGTGTGAGCATGCACACCTGTTCCCACATGTGCATGTGCTGGGGTTCTTACATGTGTATTTAATGGGCATATGTGAATTTTTGTGTGCATGTTTATATCATGTGTGTAGTGTGTTGACAGAGAACTTCAATCTTCTTTCCTCTCATTTCCCCATCCACAGCTGGCCCGATTTTCTTACAATTTATTTGTAACCTCTTACAATTTATTTGCTTTATTATTTCTGTCTTCATGTGTATGTACGCAGCGAAAAAAATTGATCAGAATTTTGACAAAGAGTATTGTTTGCAGATAGGAGCAGTTCCTCTTGGTTTGGTGGAGGTTTTTTTCCTAGAACCCAGTGTTCGGGGCCCAGGTAGAGTAGAAGCACACTGTCCCCTCTTTATGTCATAGCCTCGTCCCTCCTCCCCACCTACCCATCCTTGATTAGGAGGCTGTGCACTAGTCCAAGGTGGCTGCAAGCCGGGAGGATGGTGGTGACCCGGTCCAGGAGGCCTCAGGCCACGATCCAAGCCACGTTGGCTGAAAACTCCCAACAGAATTCTGCTAAAAGAATTCATGCACATCCAAAAGTCAGGAAGGAATGTCTACCTGTTGACCCAACTACTGCTGAATCGCAAACCACTAGGAAACAAAGTCCAGTCTCTAGAACTCCTAAAACCAGAAAGAGGAAGAGCGGAACTACAGTCTCATTATCTGAAATGAACAAACCATCTACTGATGGAGAGACCTCTGAAGCAGAGTCAAATTGTTCTTCCGTGTCTGAGCTCCAGGATCCTATTTTAAGAGTAACTAGGAGACGGCAGATCTTAGTTGCATGCACTCCAGTGTCCAGTGTTTGGAAAAGGCTGAAAATAACTCCAATAAATCAGTCTCGTATTGAAGAAGACAACGACGATGACTCTGAAGCTGAATCACATGTCTCAGTTATTTCTAGAATTGTGCTGCCCACAGTAATAACTACAAGGACCAGAAGAAGTAAGGCTAAACCTTTAAGAGATCCAAACCAAGAATTATATTCAGAAGCTATTTCTGATGCTGAGTCATTTTGAAGAAAATGACATTTCTTCATTTTCCGGAGTTGCAACTATAAGAACAAGAAGTATGCAGAAGTTACATGCACAAACTGAGGAGAAAGATATTAACATTGTACCAGAAAATGAAAAGCAGATCATAAATGTGCCTATGAATTCAGAGGATTCAGATACCAAACAACTTGTTTACTGGTAAGATCTCTTCCTCAGATAAATAAGCCAAATTTCTATAATGAAATTCATAATAACTTCGATGATGATTCCATCCACAGAAATTCAGAAAAAAAAAAGAAAACCGAACAGTGCAAAAATGCCAACGTTTTAATATGAGAGGAGAAAAAGGCCAATGTTGCACCTCTCAAAGAAATAACAAAGCAGAATAGTAAGAATTTAGATGAAGAAACCAAGGGAATAGTAGATGAGGAAAAAGAAATAAATAAGAAAAATTCTCAGTTGGAGAGCCTTTCCGAACCTCAGGACACTGGCATTCAGCGGTTAGTTTCTCAAAGGCATTCAACCCCCCAAAATAATGAGACCACATCAGAGCCCTCACATCTGAACTGTGAGGCTATAATGAAATCATTAGCTCAATCATTTGCAGTGGTAGAAGTGGACAGATGGAATGAAGAGAGAAAGAGCACCATAAAAACAAGTGACTTGACAGAATTTGGTGATAGTGGTAGTGATGAAGAAGAGTGCACTGTTACAGGTATCAGTGAAGATAGGAATGAAGGAAGGGATGTGGATTTTGAGTGTGAAACCAAACTATTCAAGTCTGAGCCCCATACATCCCTGGACAAAGGTGATTCTGTTTTGTTAGTCCTCATCAGTGATGAAAGCCAGCAGTCTGAAAATAGTGAGAATGAAGAGGACACTCTGTGTTTTGTTGAAAATAATGGTCAAAAGGAATCATTAAATGGAGAATGAGAAAATATGTCATGTGACAATGCATTGTTTGTAATTGACACAGCTCCTGGATTGAGTACTGATAAACATTTTTACTTGGATGAGGGAGACAAGGCAAGTGAGGTTGCCATTGAGGAAGAAAAAGAGGAGGAAGAGGATGAAAAAAGTGAAGAACCATCAGACCATGACAGAAACAAAGATAGTGAGTTTAGTGATGAAGACGACTTACTAAATAGCACAAAGTCTAAACTTCTGAAGTTGACAAGCAGCAGCCTAGACCCTTGTATGAGTATCAAGCAGTTGAGTGGTTTGTATATTAATTTCAGTGCAGACAAACTACAGTGGAACAAGAGAACCCTAACACAGATCAAGGAGAAAAAGAAAAACGAGCTTTTGCAGAAAGGAGGCTGTGTACTTTGGGTGAGAAAGAATGACCTGAGGCAGCTTGTTAGCCAACTCTTGACATCTTTTAAAAGTAAACTGAGTGCCTGTGTTTGTTCCAAAGCTTTTTGTTTAACAACATGTTCTGAAAACATCTCTTGGATTTAATATCTCATGATCCTTCTTCAGGGACTCACTGATACAATCATATTAACCCCATCTCTGCCTCCTTCATATGTCTGGAAGTATAACATGAGATTGGGAGTCAGACAGGCTCAAATATTGAATTGGGTTACTGCTCATGTAACCTTGAGTTAATTAATGAATTCTTACTTCATCCAGAAAAAAGGGGTAATAACAATAGTGATCTAATCGGGCTATTGTACAAATTAAATGACACTCACCTTGTGAAAGTCTTAATGTGATACTTCACAAGCAGTAAGTACTCTGTTAGCTATTTTTATTTCCCCTGCCTGCTCCCAGCTATTACTGAAGCCAACTTTCTCACACCTGTCGCTCCTTCTTGCTTCCCTACTCTGTTGATTTCCTAGTGCTGCCATAGCATAGGAGCACAAAGTGGGTAGTTCAACACAACAGAAACTCTCTCTCACAGTTCTTGAGGCTGGAAGTTTGAAATCAAGGAGTCAGAAAGGCCATGCTCCTTCTGGAGAATGACCCTTCCTTGCCTATTCCTAGCTTCTGGGGGCCCCTGACATTCATTGGCTTGTGGCCACATCACTCCAGTCTCTGCCTGTCTCTGTCTTCAAGTGGCCTTCTCTCTGTCTCTGTAACCTCTCTTCTTGTTGTAAGGATTATTATCATTAGATTTAGGGCCCACCCAAAGTTCATTATGATGTCATCTTGGGATCCTTAACTAATAACATCTGCAAAAACCCTATTTCCAAATGAGGTAACATTCTGAGGTTCTGGGTGGACTTGAATTTGTGGGGGTGAGGGAGGAACATGAGAAAACATACTATATATACCATCCTAGGCTCCTCTCTCTCTTTTTTTCAAATCATCTCAAGATTTTTAACTATCAAATTCCCTTCTTTTATTCTATTTGTATTTTGCTCCCTTTTCTCCATCCTCCCTACTGTGGCCTATTGCAGCTTTCACTTGTGGACTCTTCTACCCTGTGAATTGATCTTGCTTCTCTGGCCTCACTCATATCCATTCTCCACATTGCTTCGAGGGTGGTCTTGCACAAGTACAGACGGATCTGATGAAAGGGTTCTTTCTTCTCAAAAACCTTTAAAAGCTCCCAGTGTCATTAGGATAAAATGCAACATCTTAGCATTCAAGGCTCTTCACAAGCTGGTCACAAACAGTTTTCCTAATATTGCACTGCACTCTGTACTAATCACTTTCAACTGTCCAAGCCCACACTAACCTAGGTCTAAGGAACAACCTTACTATTGCTGCTTACTATTGCCTTGACAGATTTATTCCAGGGTGCAGTCTCGGAGATCAGGCTCATTTAAGTAGAAGGTTTGTTGGGGGAGTTTCTCAGAGCAGGTGTTAACTTGGGGCATGTGTGTGAGGAGGTAAGTTGGAGGCCAGTTGTAGAGGACGAAGTTTGAGGGGTGAGTTTGGTTCCACAGAGATGGGAGCTTTGGAGCCAAGGAAGTCAGGATCAAGTTTGGAAAGGGAGGACAGTTGGTGAAATAGTTAACACTCTAATGCCTGAACTGAATGAGTGTGATGCATTCATTCACCTGTTAGGGGCCAGCCAGGGGCCTAGGCTGGGCTGGCTTAACATCACCGTGGCAGGATGGAAAGTGCGTTCTGTGGTCAGTCTCTGCACATCTTTCTGGTCATTAGGGAGGGACGCATGGACCACAGAGCCCAGTGACCTAATCCTTGTGACTCTCTGTTCTCTTTCTTCCTTGTTTATTCTGTGGGATCTAAGGCACTGACAACCCCAGGTCATAACTTGTATTTGTGGATGTTTGCCGTTGTGGTTTCTTAAAACAGCTGGGCAAATGGAAGAACTGAGCTTTCACTGTTTTTGAGACTATCAGGCCCTGTTTGTTTTGACTCTTGTTCTTGCACATTTAGTTTCTGAGTTAGTTTGGACCTAGGTTGAACATGAATCAGGAGACTGACCTTGACTTGATGGTGCCTAAGGAGTTCCCTCTCTGACAATTTATGTCTCTGAATCCACCAAATTAGCTGAATGAAATAGCATTTTCTCTCCATTCTTGATTTGGCCAGTAAGCTCAATGCATGACCGATGCTGAGTAGCTGACATCCCGTAATCCTCTGGCATTGGCTGCAGCATAAAGAAGCAGTGAGGGACTTAAGCTGCTTCAGAAGTGATTTACAAGGCTAACAAGATATAACACTTCTCAAACCCATGTTGCATTTTATTACAAAAACTTCTTCTTCTTCTTCTTTTGCTCCTCCTTCTCCTTCTTCTTCTTCCTCCTCCTCCTTCTCCTCCTCCTCCTTCTTCTTTTCTTCTTCTTCTTCCTTTCTTCTTCTCCTTCTCCCTCTTCCTCTTCCTGCCCTTCTTCTTTCCTTCTTCCTCCTCTTCCACCTCCTCTTCCTCCTTCTTCTAATGCTTTCCTTGACTATAAGTCATTACACGGAATTAACAGAGGGTTTCATGTTGGGTTAGGCCTTGGGAATGACTATTTCTGGCGTAGTCAGTTCAGGCTGCTAGAACGAAAGTACCGTAGACTGGTGGCTTAAACAACATTTATTTCTCACAGTTCTGAAGGTTGGGAAGTACAGGATCAAGGTGTCAGCAAATCAGGTGTGAGTGGAAGACCTCCTCCCTGGCTTGTAGATGGCCACCTTCTTGCTGTATTCTCACACTGCTGAGAGAGATTATCTCTTTTGTGTCTCTTTTAATAGGGGCACTAATCCCATTCATGAAGGCTCCACCCTCATGACCTAATCATCTCCCAAAAGCCCTACCTCCAATTACCTATCACATTGGGGATTAAGCTTTGACATATGAATTTGGGGGGATACACATATTCAGCTCATAGCAGGGTCTAGCATCTTTATTTAACAGAAGGGAGAATTGAGGTGCAGCACTGATAGGACCCTTGCAAGATTCCCTAAGACAATGAGCAACAGGTTGTCTGGTTTCCAGTGCAGGGCTTTTTCCTTTTTTTTTTTTAAGATTTTATTTATTTATTTGAGAGAGAGAGGGTGTGAGAGAACATGAGCAGGGTGGGGGGGGGGCAGAGGGAGAGAGAGAAGCAGACTCAGTGAGCAGGGAGCCCGATGAGGGACTCAACCCCAAGACCCTGGGATCATGACCTGAGCCGAAGGCAGATGCTTAACGGACTGAGCCACCCACGCGCCCAACGGCTTATTGGGCGCTGCTTATTTAAATGACATGATTTTATCTCAATCCTGCTTTGACTATTTTTTTCTTTTCTTTCACTTAAAAATAGAAGACAATTTGTAAGAACACAGAAGAGCAAGGATTCTGGGAAGATAACCACCTAATTGCAGCTCTCTTTTCCTTGACCCCCAACTCCTTCTTCTCTTGGGCTAGATGGGAGGGATATGAGGCTGAGTTGAGGAGGGAAGACTAGACAGAGGGCTTTCTTCCTCAGGAAGCAGAGTTAGAGCTGGAAAGGAGATTGCCCTGTGATAAGGAAAAGACAGCCTGGGGAAGCCTGAGAAAATTCTGGTTCTGAGATATATGGTCCTGGAGGAGAGGGTGACATCAGCCATGAAGGTATCTGGTTTCTCTGGTCCTTATGAGGCCAAGCAGGAGCTAGATCTGGGGGCTGCATCCTCTCTGACCCTGAGGTGGCAGAATATGAGAACCTATTTTAGCTAGAATGTGGAGTCGCCCTCTGGGTGCCTTCACAGGTGACTGACAATCTCCTGGGAGTAGAAAATATTTCCCCCACACTACTGTGTGACTGACACCAGTTAGAAGACTCCAACAACCAGACCTGAACATAAATGAGCAGACAAAATGGAAAGAAAACTCAGTGACGTGGTCCTGGCAACTAGATGAGGAAAGAAGTCAGAACCTATAGAGCCCCTTCCGTGAATATGACTTGCTAGAGTGTAACAAGTGACTGTCTAAACCCAAACAAAAACATTGAAAGAGACTCAAGTGCACCACAAACATGGAGCCAAACCACATGATTTCCCAATTCAATATCTCGGCTGACTGATTGAAGGAGAGAATGGTCACTGGAGGCAAGTGGAAGATGTATCTCAAAGCACAGAGCAAAGATAAAGATAGATGCTATGGGGGGAAAGAAGTTTGGGGAGAGGCATCCCAAAGACGTGACATGTGAAGAACAGAAGTTCAAAAAAGAATTGGGAAAATAATTAATTACTTAACAAATAGTAGGGAGAGAAAGTATCCTGATTTGAAGACAGATCTGAATTTGCATTCTAAAGGAGTTCATCAAGTTCAAGGCAGGACTGATGACAAGTAACACTCACAGGCAGTATTCTGGTAAAATTTCTGAATTCCTAAGACAATGTGAATATATTACAATCTTCCAAGAAGAAAGAACAAGTTACCAAAATGGAAAAATTGTGAGAAAAATATTGGGCCTCTCATCTATAACATTAAAGGCTAAAAGATAATGAAACAGCATTTGCAGGCTATGCAGGAATACTGTATAAACTGATATGAACTTTATTGCTTGCTAAGGCACAATACAAATATTTGCTGATATTCAGGTCCAGGAGGTAGCATTCATCAATTCCCCCCATATTCCACTGGTTAAAACTCAGACATGTGGCTCCAGCTATGCAAGGGGATGGGACAGCCTGGGGATCACGAGCAGGCTGACTTATGCCATAAAACAAGACAATACAAAAGAGAGAATAGAGGTGAAGACCTTGTAATTCTTTCCTTACTTGGGATTTTCTGACTTTTACCTAATTCTTGTGATAAACCGGATCCATGATTCTGTCTATTAAATCTATGGTGCCTTTCATGCATTCAGTAGATAGTCCTTCTGAGTTTATTCTGCCAGGACCTGATATGCAGCAGAGAGTAAGGCCAAGAAAAATCCTGGCCTTCATGGATCTAGTGGGTGTCCTGATGCATATAACAATTATGAAGAATTGGAGGCCAGCATCCAGTATTGTACAGCAGTCTTGGAAACAGACAGATCTCAATTTAAATTAAAATCCTGGCCATGACAGAGCCACTTTGTGGACCTTGAGAGAGTTATTTAACCTCTTCAAAGTACAATTTCCTCATATATAAAGTGGGTATTGTAATATCCCACAGTGTTGTCTTTATGATAATTAAATAATCAATCAATAATGCAGGGAGCACAAACATCCTAGATCTTAGAAGCCTGTGTCTCCAAGAAAATAAGGTCTCATATATTTATTAGAAAAAATAGATTCTTAAAATTAAAAAAATCA